CACGCAAGTACGGGGAGAGCATGCAAATTCCACACAGAGAGTGCCGGAGCTGGAATTAAACCCGGTACCTCTGCACTGTGAGATCGCCGCGCTAACCACTGGATCACCTGTAGCTATGTCATTTTCATGTATAATGTACCAGCAACATAAAATATAATTTCAATATTTTTTTATATACTTTAAATATACTTTTTTTGTTTTGGTTTTCTGTTTCTATTTCCTAGTTACAACAACAAATAACAGGTCAACACAACACAAGCCTATTATAAATACTCAATTTACTGTTTTATAAAAAGACATAAAAATTCATATTTAATACAATTGAACTACATGGCCCATTTCAAAAATGAATTGTCCACCTCTGACTTGCTGTATGGGAACCTGTGATCAGCTAGCTCAGTCTCAACTCAACTCAAAACGCCGCTGTATTTATTGGGCACTTTAAAACAACCACCGCTGTACAAAAAATGCTGTACATTGAGCAAAAATAAAATAATAAAAGACAGTATAAAGCACAAAAACAGGAAAACTAGAAATCAAGTCAATCAAACCAGCCATCACGTTTGTTCATCGGCTAAACCAGGAGTAGGGAATTGATCATGATTGTTTCAGGCTTCTACAGAGCTTGCTGATGAGCTGATCGTTTGAATCAGGTGTGTTGTAGTAGGGAGGGATCTAAAACAGGTCGGAATGTCTCTCGAATGAACCGGAGTTCTCTACCCCTGGGCTACACTGTTTGAAAAAAAAAAAAAGAGTACTGTTGGGGTTCATTTATGTTCTCCTAGGTACAACTTTTTGTAATGTACCGTGCAGGGCTCAAAAACAGAAAGCCTAGGCACAAATAAGTACCGTTTCTGGTTTGGAAAAAAAAAAAAAGGTCATAAAAGGACCAAACGATCAAATAGGTGTAAACTGTAAAGGAAACTCAACTCAACTCAACTCAACTGTATTTATAGAGCACTTTCAAACAGCCATCGCTGCATACAAAGTGCTGTCCATGGAGCAAATTAACATATACAACAAACAGTAAAGCAAATCGGTAATAAAAACAGTAGAAAGCACCGAACAACAAAACCAAGAATAAATCTAAGTCATGCTGAGTCAAATGCCAAAGAATACAAGTGAGTTTTGAGGCGGGTTTTGAAGATGGGCAGCGAGGAGGCTTGCCGAATGTTCAGTGGGAGGTCGTTCCAGAGAGAGGGACCAGCAACAGAAAAGGCTCGATCCCCTCTGAGCCTCAGTTTAGTTCTTGGTACTTCTAATAATGTCTGGTCCGCAGACCTGAGGCGCCGGGCAGGTGTGTAGGGGCGGATGAGCTCAGAGAGGTAAAGTGGCGCAAGGTTCTTTAGAGATTTGAAAACAAATAAGAGGATCTTGAAAATAACTCTAAAATGTATGGGGAGCCAGTGAAGGGATGCCAGAGTAGGAGTTATGTGCTCCCTCTTACGAGTACCGGTCAAGAGGCGAGCAGCGGCATTCTGGACCAGCTGGAGACGCTTAATGGAAGACTGGCTGACTCCAAAGCAAAGGGCATTGCAGTAATCAAGCCGGGATGTGACAAAGGCATGAATTACTGTCTCAAAGTGTTCATGAGAGAGGAGAGGTTTTACTTTGGCCAGCTGTCTAAGGTGAAAGAAGCTGGATTTAACAACGGCACCAATTTGCCGGTCAAGTTTGAAATCACTGTCCAGTTTAAGGCCCAAGTTTGAGACTGTTGACTTAAGATAAGGAGACAGGAGGCCCAAGTCAACAGGATGGGATGTGCAAGGGCCACTGGGACCAAACAGTATCACCTCTGTCTTCTTTTCATTGAAAGTCAAGAAATTTTGTGCCATCCAGGTTTTGATTTCTTCCAGGCAGGAAACAAGTGGCCTTAATGAGAAGGCGTCTTTTTTGCTCAGTGGGACATAGATCTGGCAGTCATCTGCAAAAACCACATCTATACCCTTTTGTTCAAATGTAGTACAAACCAGTGTGGCTCAAACCACATCTATACCCTTTTGTTCAAATGTAGTACAAACCAGTGTGGCTCAGTGATTGGCGACCCATACCTGGAAAACTCTGATGACCGCCATCTTGGATCATCCCCTCAGGACGAGTTTCCGTGATTTTTTTCTACCTGTTCAGTGAGAATTTGAAGATGTTTATTTTTGGACAGTTTGTCCTACATTCTGTTGATTGTGTGAAACATCCACACGTGGTCAATGTCACAAAGGACCACGCAATTTATTATTACAGGTTATTAAATCATATCTACAATGAAACATATGTGCACTGCTACAAAACAGAGGAGTGCGGCAATAACGGCATATTTTTATATGTATGAGGATCTAATGCAAACACTGTGAGACGTTTCAGCTTTATTGCAAATGCAAGTTCACAGAACAATTGAAGTATTGTAATACGACAGGCATACAATCCAATTTTAAAAAGTGGATTTGGTACAAACTAAATGACATGTTGCACAGGAACCAGAACCCTGGAAAACGTGTCAGCTATAATATGGTGCTGAACACATTTATTCGACCACCATCAACCAGTACTTGACTCCAAGACCATCAAGCATAAAAAAGGCCTTTTGGGGAGGCTTTCATTTTCCGTGCGCTCTGGACTATTAACTGAATTTACCCTCAGCAGGCTTGCGTTGTGGACTCAGACATGAATGAGACATAACGTTCAACCAGTAAAACATTTTTTTTTCTATTGATGAATACAAGTTATAACGATAATTTAATTTGGGAATGTCACTTGTTGAACCTTATTAGAGAAAACGTTTCAATCGCGCTTCCTACGCTGTAGGAGGTTAGAGGTAGATTAAAAAAAAAAGGCCAGCGACAAGGTACAGTCACGTGTTTAACTACTTTGCACACTCTTGTCGCTTCAGTCGGCGAGGCAATGAATGATATATTGGTTCAAGTATGTGCCACCAGAATATTTTATGTTTGAATTTGAATCGCTAAACTTGAATAAATACACTGAAAAACCGAATTACATATAATGAATTTGTATTGTTTAATTGAAATCTTCACTTTGAAAACCTGAATCTGAATTGTCCAATTTGAATTTCTTAATGAAAATTCAAATCTGTACATTTTTTTTCACATTCAGTTTTACGAATACATATTCAAATCTTTCCATACAAATTCAGTTGGTGTCAGAAACATCCTAGTACTTCAGGATGGGCAATCGATAGCAGAACTCAGATCTCATCTTTTTTTCCAATCAGCATCTTTGTTGTGAGGATGTGATGCAAGGTCTCCGGATTTTTTTTAATCTCCTTAAAGTTTATAACACCTCTGTTAACCTTTGTAATTCAAGCCATCGAGTCAGAGAGGGATGAAAAGGAATATTATCAATGGATAAAAACGGAGCACCTTGGTCAGTACCCTCGATTTCCTTTTTTCCTCCCCAAACCTTAATGCTACGGCCGCATTGAAATCCACACTTTAGGTATTACTGACATCTAGTGGTAGAAATATCACACAGCACGTATCGATCGACAGTCGGGCCTCATCCATCCATCCATTTTCAATTTTGCTTTTCCTGAACAGGGTCGCGGGGGATGCTGAAGCCTAACCCAGCTAACTCTGGGCAAAAGACAGACTACACCATGAACTGGTCGCCAGTCAGCCGTAGAGCACATCTCGTGACGAACAACAATTCACCCCCCGACATCCTCACCGTCACTGAGTGGGTACCGATCCCACGGTGCTTGCTCACAAGTCAGACGAGTGTACCCCTACACCATCAGCGTCTGCAGAGCGGATCCCAGGTCTCTTAATTAAGCATGGGATTTCAAAATCATTAGCTCATTTGTTTCATATAAAGCTCCATATTTTGCTGAGTGCATGTTCTATTTGTAGAAGTATTGGATAGAAGAATGACTTCATTATGCTCCCTCCATAGATTCTATGCCAAATCATCCACATTTTAAAATGATCATTTCACTGCTGGATTTCTGAGATGGACCATGATTCACCCACACTGAAATTTCAGGAGTTTAAATATGAGATGCGACAGTAGAACAGGAAAAAGGGAAATATCGCTTAATATTTTGATAACAAATATAGTACAAGCAGTGGCGGACCCTCAGGGTCAGCAAGGCCTTCTCTGCTGGCCTAAACATTCTCAGAAAAGTAAATTTACTTTTCTGAGAATAACATTAATTTGTTATTTTATTTTCATAAATATGTAAACAAAATTATTCTCTGTATTCTTTACGTCATATTATTTCCACTTAGTCGAGTGGCTTTCAATGTTATTTTAAATAACATTGAAAGCCACTCGATAAATAACTTATTTGTTATGGTAGAGTTTTTAACCAATCATATTTCAGCGAGCTTGTGTTGCCCCCTGTGCGCTGTAAATGAACGGGTACAGTCAGGCTTCAATAGCCAATCAGATCACGAGTCTGAAACTCGTCTGCGTACTAGGGCCAGCTAGAAGGCCTTACGTCGAGACTGGCCGTGCGCGTTCGGTGATTGGATTAGCGCATTTTCTGTTTCCTGAGAATTGTATCCTGACTTGTTCAATAAAGATTAAAAAAAAACAAAAAAAGATTGGATTAGCGCCTGCTCGAGCTATCACTCGCATTTTAACCCAAAATGGCCGAAGGAGAAGACGTTGATCTGTGCACAATTACTCACCATATTCCAAGACAGATAGAAACAAGTCACTGTTTTATGAAGATCTGATGACCATAGATGGTGCCATGCTAAGTTAGGAGCAATGTTGGGTCAAATGCAATTTCTATCCTCCCAGATCTGGATTTGAAAGAAGGAAAAGAGCTTTGCCTCAAGAATTTCTTTTTCTTACTAAAAGTACAACTGAACACCCAGCTAGCAACTCACGATTGAGTGCCATTGCTATACAAGAGATTTCTCTCACTGAGAAAAAAAAAAAAACTGTATTCATAAATTCATTTGACAGTCTTTCTGAGAATCCATTCCCTTGTAAAATCACCAGCAATAACACAAGAAATAAATATGACAAAACATCCATTGAAAAGCTAAGAACAATTTATTTACATCTTCCTATTCCACCAAAAGTCAACGAGAGATACTTTGAAATGATGAATTGTTTTCGTCCCGCCAACGAATTGCAAAAAAACCAAACAAACAAAAAACCCAAAACGATTTTGAAGTAGATGACAATGAATGTGCTTTCTGTGAGAATGAGGTACAGACAATCGACCACATATTTTTTGAATGTATTATGTCCAAACCTGGACTGGCGAACATTTTGTTGTTTCTGGCGCCACACTGTGGCGACTCAGACTCCTGTTTTGTTCTGCAGTTCTTGTGTTTTTTAGTTTGTTTTAAATGTGTTTTTTCTCATTCTCATCATTATCGTTTTTGCGCTCGAGTCTCTCGCTTGTAAGTATTTGTATTATTTTTGCCTTTTGATCATGCTCTCGTTTTTGTTTCGTGAAAATGGACTCTCGTCATTTCGTTTATATTTTCGGATGTACTATTACGTTGCCTTTGCGAGAGCTTTTTGTTAATGTATTGTTTTTCCTGGTTTCCTGGCGATTTCTGTTTATACTTGTCGTTCCTCTTTTGTTATTAAATAAATATTTTTTGTACAGAATTTGTTTGTGTCTATGTTTGTGGGATCTGATTGCCATTCACTTCGTCCACAAACTGTGTCAATTTCCCTTTGGGGACAATAAAGTACAGTATATGAAATGAGATTTTGAAGATCCACCCATACCAGGGTACATTGAAACATTAACTTCAACACAAGAACAAAGAGTTGTTCTAATTTCATTCTCTGCCGAGCCATTTTTTCCCACTGGCTACAGGAAATATACTGTATTTTTTATTCTATTATGTTTTTCTTGGCGGTTTAGCCACATTTACCTTCTATTTGCTCTGAAGGGCGTTTAGGCCTTTGTGATGTTGTCCACCGAAGTTTGTTGAAAGGCTGTTGCCATGACAACATGCTATTCGCCAAGAAAACAACACAACTTTTCAAGGTTCTAAACGGGCTTGAAAACTCATGAAAACACCTCAGGCCTGGCAACGGAATCAATATTTTGTCAGGCTACTGTGTGATTTAAAAAAAATGGTTCAACAACGCCCCCTCCATTCTTTTTTTGCAAAGCAGCTCTGGTTGTATGTGTCACCAAGATCATCCAAAAGTTGGAAGTTTATGTAACAGCCCAAGAAGAAGAAAAAAATGTGAAAATAAGTATTGTAATTAATAGCAGTAAATCATATCATTTTAGTTGAAGAGCTTCTTAATGCTGATGTATTAACAACCTTAAAAAATGTTGATACTTTTGGGCGGCCGGCATAAAGGGTGCCCAGGGTGGCGTTAAAACAAATGTGTCAAGCACTGCAGATTAGTCTCTACATTGCAAGGCATAAGCAACAAAACGTGTGCACTACAACGTACAATGTAGAATCATTAGATACTAAGATTTCTTCAGAAAGCTCATTTTGCATACCAAAAAGCATTTTGCATTCCTGTTGATGGTGCCTCAACGTGGGTTGCGCTGTTATTAAAGCCCAAAAGGGGGCAGTGTTGTCCCATATAGAAGTTCATCACCATGTTGCACTGTGATGAAAGAGGGCGCTACTGCTGATGGGCTTCATTCATTTGAGATCAGTCTACAGATATTCCTCTTCTTTTACATACAGTATCTCATGAGCCGAACTGGGCACCTAGGAGCAACAAATAGAGACAGATAAGGAGAAATAGCATCTACAGCATATGTGGCCGAAGCATTTACACTGAACACTGGTATATATTGTAATAAAGTAAAAGGAACAAAGTGCAGACTCTGAAATCAGTCAAAAAAAAACTGTCTAGAGCCCAACAAACATTTTATGGTCAGTAGCGGTGAAGACTCAGTTACGGCTATACTTCTGTTTCCCATTTGAATGTTTTATATTCATGGTCAACAAGGGTTTGTCGCCACAGTGTGTACATTCCTGTAATTGTGGCTTTACTACTGCATTAGTGTAATTCAGTGATTAACTACGGTTACTGCGGCCCGGTGCTCCAGTGGTTAGCGCGTCGACCTCACAGTGCAGAGGTACCGGGTTCAATTCCAGCTGCGGCCTCCCTGTGTGGAGTTTGCATGTTCTCCCGGGCTTGCGTGTGTTTTCTCCGGGTACTCTGGTTTCCTCCCACATTCCCAAAACATGCATGGCAGGCTGATTGAACACTCTAAATTGTCCCAAGGTGCGAGTGTGAGCACAGATGGTTGTTCATCTGTGTGTGCCCTGCGATTGGCTGGCAGCCGGTTCAGGGTGTCCCCCGCCTATTGCCCGAAGACAGCAGGGATAGGTTCCAGCACCCCCCGCGACCTTTGTGAGGATGAAGCGGATCAGAACTTGTATATATATAAAGGTTAAGAATACTTTAAGATTCAAAGTTGTAAGCGTGTGTGAGGATTCAGATCAAAAGTTAAGAGTGTTTAATAAGCACACTATGTGTCATAAAGTCAATTCAGGGCCCTATCAAAATGTCCATTAATCCAAGCTTTCATTATTTTTTACTCATAATTGATGCAAATACAGAATGTCTGTAATGTATGAAAACTGTTCAGTATTTGGGTATTATTGATCCTAGTCCCGTTTTCAGAGTTGTGATTTAAAGTTTGGTAAGGCTCAGAGGATTTCAAACCGGGTTGCACCATTTGGATTCATGACGTGTTGAAAGACGGGGCAAAATGTTGATCCGTTTTTTGAAGTAAGGTCGATATTATCGTCTTTGTTTTGCTTAAAACACAAATACATGCTTTGTTTGCTTTCATGGTGGACTAAATCAGAAATATTGACAATTGACTGAAAGTCAAGGATTTGGACTTTTCAAATCAAAGAAAAGTTCAACCCACCTTCTTCCTTCATGTTTTGTGTGCAGTAAGCTTGCTGGCAACAATGATGTTGCAACGATTTCTTCTTCTTTTTGCCACTGGGCATTCAATTATGTTGAATTATGCTTCACTGTCATTGTGTTTTAACTCGGCAGTCTTACACTACAGCAAACGACAAATCTTTAGCCACCACATTAGCCATACGCATGCGCCCGCCACCTTAGAATGATATCCACAGTGCACCTTTGAGGACAAAATCCATTACACTTGCCAGTGTGATTAAAACATACGGCAAACTATTGGTCACTTCACCAATTATGTTTCCCATATAGCAAAATAATCTCAGTGGATGATACAATTTCCAACTCTGAGCTCCTCACAGTATTCTTATCATTGTAAACACTGTTTTGTATGACTGAGTACCTTATCAGTTAATTCAGTTGTCAGACAAGAGGAAGACCCGCGGACGTTTTATCGAAAATGCCCATTTTTTTTTCGTTTGAAAAGCGTGCTGGCTCACGTTTGATATTATCGAAATTCCCAATCAAGAATTTCAATCTAAATTCCTGTCTTACTATCCGCTGCAGATCTAGCTCGGTATGCATTTTACTTACAGCCCTGAATATTCAGTATACCTGGTTGACTCCACCAACTACGAGAAGTCGATCTCTGATGACGATGAAGGAGGCCGAGCATCGTGCGAACGTCATGGAAGCCAATCGCTCCCATTTTTTCTTCAGAGGATGAAAAGCCTCAACAGTGTCCAGTGCGGAGGGCTCATGACCTAATCACATCACGACATCGTAATCACACAAGTGGCGAAATTCCAAATGGAAAGACATAACATGTTGGAATGGGCAAGCTCAGATGCACACAGACCTCTATCGGGCTGGGCGATAAAACAAGATCAATGTGTAACGTAATAGACACGTGATCAATCTCAGTGGAAAATACGTTCGATAGAAATACAATCTTAAAGAAAACCGCTCTGCATTCGAGGCTACCGAGACAGAAGTTGGGGAGAGAATTGGGATCCGCCCGCAGCATCCTTACCTACTACGGCCCAGCAAAGTACATTTGGTCCTGTCATCAAATCGACCTGCTACTTTTGCTGAGTGGATTACAGTTCAAAACCACAAAGAAAATAAAGCCCACACTAACAATTTAATGTTTAGCCTTCAAGTCTCAGAATTTGTTTAAAAAAAAGAATCGTGTGCACTGAAATGAAAGGTAAAAAAAAAAAGTGTTGATAAGAGGGGGAAGGTCACGTCTCTAGTTTGGCAATATTTTGGATGTTTTAAGTGGCTGGAATTTTTTAATGCTAGTTTGATACTTCGGTGACTGGACTTGGCAACATGTTTGTTTCATATTACAAAAAATATTTTGTAATATGTCGGAGATGTTTGTCTTTTGTTTGATGTGAGGACAGATTCATTGTAATGGTTGACACAGTACCAAATACATTCTGTTTAAAACGGCGTTTATTTAAGCTTTTGTCGATTTTTTTGACGGTTTCATCATGGGGTCAACATCCTATTAAAGGGTAAATATTGCATTTTAAAATCTATTTTTTTTCTTCCGGTCGACCTGACCGAGTGTGTTGCGGATCAGCGCCACGGGATAGACTAAATGTCAGTTGATGACGGTGTTTTAAAGCCTTAAAAATTAAGCAGTGTACCTTCTGTTGTCTGCTGCCTTTGTTGGACGGATTAACATTACCATGTCCTCCTATCTGTTCACAATTATTTTAACAAAAATATTTTCTTCAAAAACTTGCATAGTCAATTTTCATGCTTTTTCTGAAATGACCAAGGACGCCACAAGATGGGGCCAAAGTCCTGTGTAACAGAAAAGTAGTGCCATTTTTCTATTCGATAGAATTTTCGATAGTGCTGTCAAGAGATTAAAAACATTGTGAGACTAATTAATAATAATCTGTAATTCATTGATCTAATTAATCTATATTTTAATCTCATCTAAAAATTGATGACATTTTCATTTTAAATGAATTACATTATTGAGGCAGAACAAAAGATTGACATCCCCAAAAAAGTGGCATTATAAAGTCGTTTATTGTTTTTGAACATACTTGAACAGATGCAGTCCGAGCCATTTACTTTCTGCTGTATTTGAGACTAGTCCCAAGTCTTACCTGCAACCTTTAGTTTTAACCACCAGGGGGAATATCACGAGTTAGTTTTTTGGTAAATCTCCAAATAATTACAAAATAAAAACAAAATAGAACATCAGGTCCATAAAAAGTGCTTAGGTTAACATGTCAAAAACAGTAAGAATACCTTTCTGATCAGTACAAGTACTGAACACTGAACTTGCTTCAGATAATAAAAAATACATAAAACAGACCCTTAAATCACAGTGCTTTAAGTTAGCACTTCAAAAATAACACTGTTCATGATTACAAAATAAAGTGCTGAAATAAACATAAATCACTTCTCGAGGCTACAGAGGACACAGCAGCTATGCTGACTTCATGCCTCGTACGCGGGGTGTTCTCGAGTTTAGTTTGGCGAAAAGCTTTGCTTTAGCTCGCTATATTGCTTTCGGTGCTAATGTTAACTGAGGCTGCACTCGCGACTGGGTGCTTTGCATTGATGTGGTAGGCTAAACTTGAGCTGCTTCGCTGGTCAGCAAACTCCTTACAAATTCGGCACAACACTCTAGCTTTATCCAGAGTCCCGTCAGGGCATTTTTGGAATGTAAATTTTCCATTCATTGGGCCGAGAACTCTCACATGCTCATTCATGTTCACCTCTTCTCACCGCTGCATACCTGGCCCTCCCAACTCCAATGGGAGCCTATCAGCTTCTGCTAAACAAGCCCAAACATAATGACAGCCAATCAATGTCCGCTTCAGGCTGTGATTGACCATTGTTTCCCACCCTCTACAACTCAAACACAGGAAGCCAACACATAAAATGGGAGATTATAAAAAAGCAACCCACCAACAGAAACAATAAAATTAGAGATTAAAATTTAGATTAACGCGATTAAAAAACATAACGCGCTAAATATGACTGTAATTAATTATTCGCAATTAACACGATAATTTGACACCTCTAATTTTAGAATCATTTTGTGGCATCTCAGAAAAATACTATAGTTTCACTTTTCTATTAGAGAGGGGGTTTTGCACCATCTTGTGGCATCTTGGTGCCAAGAAAATATTTGAACACTTCTTAAATGAGAGACAAACTTTGCATTTTGGGAGGAGCCTAGTTTAGCCAGGGGAGGCAGAAAAAGTTGAGAGGTCGCCATAATTAAATTATCTTTAAACCATTTAATTTAGAGGTAATGTAAATTGTAATTATAAATATTCCATTATCAAAGCTAGAATCATGTGATATACAGAATAAATAAGACACACAAGTCCACTTTCTGTGTTGAGTCTTGACTAGTTTCATAGTGGGACACGATAGCTCTGTTTGGTATTGTACAAATGACATTCAAATAAGTGTGAGTTCATTTCCATTATGTAGAAACCATTATTTAGTCTTACCTAGTCCGCCTGCTACCACCATGCGGCCACGCAGCAAAGCGGCCACAAAGTCAGCCCTCTTGGTTTTCAAGGGCACTGTCTCATCTGACTTCAGCCACATACCTGAACGGGGAAATGAAGGACAAGCAAGGTGGGAATGATGCAGCAGAATTTAATGGTCACACATAATTCAGTTCTCAAGCAAAAAGGTAAAATGTTGGTTTTAGCATTCTAGTAAAAAAAAAACAAACAAACAAAAAACTAATAATAATAACAACAACTAAATAAATAATCCTTGCTTGGAAACTGGTTAGCTAAAAATTACATTGGCATGCAACGTAACTGTTCTTAGATGAATATTAATACCAAGTATAAAAGTTATAAAAGTTGATGTGATAACATACTTGCAAGAAGTATTGAAGGTACACTTGACACACATAATTAGTAATTCATCAGAAATCATACATTATTAACACAAATTTTAGTGTGATTATTAATCATACCATACATTTTTCAAAACATTCGTATGTATTCGGCATTAAGAAAAAAGTTCGTTTGAATGTTATGGTTGATAATTGTGGCTAAAAAAATCTCAAAACTTTCTGAATTGGTTGTACGGTCTTTCAGCAAAGAATATTTGATTACAAATCTTAGGGGTGTATTATGAAAATAAGAAAATTCATAACTACTGGTGTTATACGAAGGAATATTCAAAATGCTGTACTGTATGAATACACTTTTATCCCGCAGCAAGCTGACAAACACTATCACATAACATCTTTCTTTTCCGGTTCTTGTTCTGTTTAGGTTTTAATAATTTTCTCTCCAGAAGGTTATTATATTGCCTGCTGGTTTATTTTGCTATTCAAAGTTGGATACATTCCGCTACAATGAGGTTCCAGCCATCCTTGTGTGAAAAATGTACTTCATCAGCCAAGCACAAAATACCGATGTGTCACAAGGACATGTTTATTTTAGCTTAGCAATTAGACTAGTTTCTCAGTCTTCTGTTAATTACACCTCGCCGTCCCTATGTTTCAACAATATTTGTCAGAAGTATACTGTAGCTTATTCACAGCCATTGAGGATATGATTACTGACTTAGGAGTGACACCGGAACGTGTTTAGCCACACTCGCTAGCCAGCCAAAGCTCATTGCTAGCTTGCCTCAACAGTATCTGAACAGGGGAAAGCAGCGGGAATTGATTGTTCAACGTGGACACACACACACACACACACACACACACACACACACACACACACACACACACACACACACACACACACACCGTGTTGTTGTTTTTTTTAAAAACAACATTGTGTTGATTTCATCATATTTGTTCATGAAATTTGTCCTGGCCCAGTTAGGCCAGCATCTGTAATGTCTCGGTGGCCTGATACGAGGCACCCTATTGACCATTTGCTTCCACTTCCTACTTCCTATGAGTAAGGAACAAAAATGCGTTGCATTACGTTACCATGCCTTTTGGGATTGTCCCCATCGATTAGAAAAACGTTATTTTTGATTCTCAGGTTTGCTTTTCAATGTGTTTTTATGAGACACAAAATGCTGATTTTCACTTACAAACTGCGATGTGAAACTTCTTATTTTGAGACATGTTTTTATTTATTTATTTATTTTCATATACCGGAAGATAGACATATTACCAAAATGTTTTTTGCCCTACTTCATATTCATTCTCTTTTTCAATTCTTGTTTTGTGTGCTGTGTGTGTTATCTTGCCTATGCACTGCAAGTACACCAGAAGGACACCACTTACGTAGAAAGGCCAGTTTGGAGGGTGCCTGATTTTTCGTGATATAGAGGTATAAATGCAAATATTACACAGTTACTGAATGACCGAATATGTTTCTATGTGGAAAGTCATTGCTGAAGATGGATATTACAGCCATCTGTTTCGTGATCTTATAATTCAGGCAGCTCCTGGTTGCCCGTTTCCCATCTGCAGCTCATCTCCCATCTCATCTATTTCGAAATTGGAGAAACTTGGTATTGTGCATTCCTGATGTGTGAAAGTGGAAATATTGATATCCTAGTCTTTGTGTGCATAAGGCACAGACATTTGCTTTTATTTATTTTTTTTAATGAAAAAAAAAAACATCACCTCATTATTATACGAGAATAACCGGAATCACACTCCGGTTCTGCATTTCATTCTACCAAAATCCCCTGTCAAAACACATACCCAGTGGTAAATAAATAAATAAGTAGCTAGATAGATAAATAACTCAATCGTATTTGAGCTTTCATTACGCTTCTCTGGTCATATTTCATACACTTGTCGCTGCATAGTGCATGGGCCTAACATTAAATCAACACAATATTGATTTCTACATTTTGAGGCATAAATTTCGAATACAAGTATAAATGAGATGCCACAACAGAAATGGGTTGTCTTAATGCCAACAATGTATGGCACTCGGAATTTTCCTGCATGTTAACAGAAAGATCAGGATGTACAACATTGCACTATTTGACATTAAATCCGACTCTATTGGGCAGATTTGCTTCCAGAATTACTCACACTTTGTTCAGCAATTCTAACTTATTTATAACTTTATTGTAAACGGAAATAGGTTGTCTCAAAAGGACAAGAGGACCAAAACTCTTGAGACACAAACCAAGAATAAACTTACAAAAACAGAGAAAACTACTTAAAATACAAAACGAGGCAAGGGAACTACAGAGCAAAACCATGGAAATGTCTCGAAAACTGTACTGAGAACAATAGCTTGAGCAAGGTGAATTATCAGACGCTGAATGGTCGGCATTACAGTCCTTCAGTCGTCAGGTGATTACGATCCATGAAAGAAAGCCCTCCTATGCCACCTACTGGAGACTAATAGAAACAGAATAATGACAGGTAGATGCTCGTGATACGTAATATTCAATTTTTTCGAAGTGAAGTCAAACCTTGCAGCTAAATATAGTAAGATCTAAAAGCTTTCTGCGGGCTACTCAAAACTACGCCGCGAGCGACGGTTTGAGAAGCCTTTCTTAAAGACTTAAGCGTGTTAAGCGCAAATGAATGATGTGATTCATTTGAAAATAAATATGGATATTTTATTTTAGGTCATCCATACCTTGGTTGCAGTCAAAAATGTTGACGTTCTTGGTAAATTTTGAGGTCTGATGTCCTCCTCCCTGGCGTAGACCTCCCAGCAAACACAGCCTCCCAGCACTGTCCCATAACACACCTCCATACGATCGCTTACATGACAACATTGGAAGCGATATCCATGAGCGCATGTCGGTGTCATACATCTCAAAGGCCTTCACGGGCCGCTTACACTGGCGGCCACCTACAACATTTTGTAAAAGACAATAGATTAATCATTGGAAAATAATATTTCAATAAAGTACACATAGAAGTAGTTTACAGAGCGCATTCTGCCTGAATAACAGTTCCTATTAGTGTTAGAAAGTACCTGCTACATAGAGTTTGTTGTCCAATAAATGTGTGTTGGCATCATAGCGCGGGGTCGGCATGGGAGGAAGTAAAGCCCACACATCCTTACGAAAGTCATACTGTTGAAGGATGTTGCGAGGGAGCAAGTCAGCACCCATTCCACCCACAGCAAGAGCACGGCCATCTACATGCACGCACAGACACATGCAATCGAGGCAATCATTTGTGAAATGAATTTTCTGGAACATACAGGATGAACCTTACACAAGAAAAAAAAAAATGGAACGGACACCCTCTAAAAATGTTTATGTATCATCTAATTTATCTAAACCTGAAACAATAAATATACAACTTAATATTTGCAACTCATTTTACGACATTACTCGAAACCAGGGGTCACCAACATCGTGCCCACGGGGCTATTTAAAAATTACCTCACCAATGATTAGACACTTTGACTCTCCAGGAATATTGTAGAAGCGATCATTTCAAAATGTGAACGCTGGCAGATATTGATCTGTTTCATAATTCTTGAGAGAAATCGCTAATGTGATCAGTTCTGACTCAGAAATGAATATCATCAATCATTAATTATGACATCAGAAGGTAGGTTTAGCAAATTTATTTCAAAAGGGCATACTATCAAACTAGGGCAGCCCGGTAGTCCAGTGGTTAGCACGTCGACTTCACAGTGCAGAGGTGCCGGGTTCAATTCCAGCTCCGGCCTCCCTGTGTGGAGTTTGCATGTTCTCCCCGGGCCTGCGTGGGTTTTCTCCGGGTACTCCGGTTTCCTCCCACATTCCAAATACATGCATGGTAGGCTGATTGAACACTCTGGATTGTCCCTAGGTGTGAATGTGAGCGTGGATGGTTGTTCGTCTCTGTGTGCCCTGCGATTGGCTGGCAACCGATTCAGGGTGTCCCCCGCCTGCTGCCCGATGACAGCTGGGATTGGCTCCAGCACCCCCCACGACACTAGTGAGGATCAAGCGGTTCGGAAGATGAATGAATGAATGAATGAATGAATACTATCAAACTGATAGTCCTCTGCATTAACCAGTAGCTGTCACGTTTGCGAGGTGGTAGGTAGCCGACCCCAAGAAGCAGGGAGGCAGGGAGGACTTAACAAAAATACAAACACAAAGCAGACACAAGCAAATCTAAACAATGACAAACAATGACCCAACACTGACTGGTTGGGCAGGGAATTCTTTTGACAGAACACAAACTAACAGGTGTGCCACTGCAGGAGGAGCCCTACAGTGCCCCCTGTTGGTCACAAACAGAATCACCCTAACAGTAGCTATTAGTTTCAGAAAGGTTGGTTACCCCTGCTCAAAACAAGAAATGGCTTCAGAGGATTTGGGTTTGGGGTGGCCCCGGGGACAACCCAGGACAGGCTGGAGAGACTATCTCTGGTTGCATGGGAAATAGCTGGGGAGAGGGAAGTCTGGGCTTCCCTGCTATTGCTGTTGACCCTGCAACTCAACCCCGGGCCGAGTTGTACTGCTTGAAGTCTGTGACTCTGCTGTCCAAGTAGGCAATGTGCTTGTCCTTTTCAAGATCCTAGATGTGTTTTCACACCTTTGACCAACTCCACAATCGCCCTTTCCTGCAGCCTCACAGCAGTGAATTCCTCGGCGAAGAAATCGAGTGACTTTTAAATATAAGCGCCCTCCTTGGCCGTCTGAGACTTTTTTGGTCCCATGTAGCCAACTTTTCACTGACTTGTTCTTCTCAAATTTGCTTCAAATGCAACACAAAGTTCAAATTGACCAAACATACATGCAATTTGGACTGCAAGAGGAAGCTGTAGAAACTCACAGAAGAATGTAAACAAACTCCACAGATATGGAATGGCTTGATACTCAGAACCATTTTGGGTTGAGGCAAGACTGCCAAATACCACTTACTACGCAACAGGCAAAGACTAATATAATTAAAAAGTTGAAAAAACTTGTATTAATTTTGAAGAAGCAAACCTTGTTATCTGGCGATTCATTATCCGACCTCTTGAAAACAATGAATCAACAAATGTCACCATTTAGTCCATTAAGTGATTGACTACCTTCTTTAAAATACCCTGCTTGTTTTCATTTAGCACAATTGATCGTTTTGTCATACCATTCGTCTTTTATTTGGTGGCATTTAGTCTGACGATAAAGCTGCAAGTAATGGATTGAATACAGGCAAGAAAAATGACAGTCTACGCATATCGTGCTGAATATAATCCCCATGTGTTTACAGTTATTAAGTGCATTATTATTCTTAAATAGCGAGGACAGAAGACTAAACTCTCTAAACTCCAAATAAATTGACAGTTGAAGAAGCCTTTTTTTTTTTTTTCGGGCACACGAAGTTTTTGAGATAGTTTGACCTATAAATGCTTGCACAATGCATTGTAATTTCTAGCTGGGACATTTCAGGGAAAAAAATCCACCCGTTAATGAACCATTAATTCATAAACACTAGTAAATATATGACTATATTACAAATCATATTATCAATCCATCCATCTTCTTATCCACTTATCATCACGAGGGTCACGGGCGTGCTGGAGCCGATCCCAGCTGACTTTGGGCAGTAGGAGGGGCACACCCTACTGGTTGCCAGCCAACTGCAGGGCACATATAGACAATAACCATTTGCGCTCTCTCTCACACCTAAGGACAATATAGAGTGTTCCATTAACCTGCCGCGCATGTTTTTGAAATGTGGGAAAACCGGAAGTACCCGCAAAAAACCCACGCAGGCATGAGGAGAACATGCAAACTCCACAAAGGAAGGCCGGAGCCCGAGTCGTGTCCTGCACCTCTGCACGGTGAGGCGAACGTGCTAACCAGTGACAGCCACCCCTATCACATTATTATTATTGTGAATAAATGATGTTTGAGAGAGAAAAAAAAAAGACAGATTCAGAATCAGCACAAAAATCAGTTAGAAAAGTTTACTTGCATCTCTGATTAAAAACTGCAGTATAAAATTGTTGAGCAGTGAAATGAGCTAATTTGTTTGATATAAGCAAAAGTCACCATGAGTAGAAATTCATTCTTGAAAAAGGTTTGAGCCTACTGGAACCATCTAGTTATAAATCTACCGGTATTTATTATTCATTCTTAAGAATATATCACATGATTTAAAGTCATGAATCATTTGCAGGGCAAACAAACATATTTGTGCATACAACAGCACAAAACAAAGTTCTGCAAATAATTTTTGGTCAATTATCTATCTGTTGTAACGGTGTTTCCTTTCCACTCATTTCCCTTTTAAACGATGCCCCATTTCTAAGGAGTGTGCATTTTTTTAAATGAGTAGCACAAGCATGTGATTGCACTCCTGTAAAATGTGTCTATGCCAAACGATTTTTTTTAATTCTGACTCTTCCATTGAGCTTTCGTTGCTCATAATCAGGTGGCTGAAATCATCACGTGGTGCAACGTTATGTTCTGCCATAAATCCAGAATCTAGCTACGAATCACTGAGAAAATTGGGGTTGTTATCACAGTAAGAAATGTCAATGCTGAAAAATATCAGTCTTATGGAAGCAGTTGAAAACCCATCTCTACAGCCCAGGACGTAATTGTAAATTGACTTCAATCCCCGCCACTCTTAATCAGATCCTATCTCCACAAACTTGCAACATACCTGATGGATTAGCTCAGGTGTGGTGGACGTACTAAAATGAACAACACAAACATGTTGGCTAAACTGCGACGAATTCTGACTTAGGAGTGGAATTCCATTTCACAGTAATGTTATGACTAAGCTGGTCAAGAGCATGAGGAGGAGGTGCGGGGCTGTTGTGGCTGTGCATGGTTCTTTTACACCACTGTTTTAGTGGACATACCCTTGGGAATTGAAGCCAGGGTAGTGCATTATCATGCCCCGAAGTATGGAGTCAAGTGAAAGTGAGCAAGTCCATTGTCCAAAAGCGACCATTTATTCGGTTACCTCAGACCATTGCACAGTGGAGGGAACAGGGGGAATTGGCCTGATTACATTCCCTGTGCTCCCGAGTTCTTGTCGGAATGATATTAGCAGTTGGTGGTCAAAATATCTGCACATAATCAAAAGAAAGTTACAAAAGTAACATCGACCAAACACAGTACATGTAAACTATGTGTTTGTCACAATTTTTTTTCACTGTTGATCAAATGTTATGTTCATATTGTTTGTCCTACATCATGAACATTTGGATTTTATTGGATGACTGGATCAAATAATAGACACAGACGGGAATATTTTTTAACTCAGGAAAAACATATTTCATTGCATTTCAATACAAAATAAAAACAAATGGAAAATGCCTCTGTCGAGGCTTGAATAGACCAAAAGTTGAAGTGGCATTTTAGGACAGTTTTTCTTTTTTCAGAACAGTAATCCTTACATATGATTTCTGCATGAAGCAGTTAAAAAGTTAGATCACAAGTCAAAAATACTCTTTACAAAATTATGTTCTATGGCAGTGGTCTCCAACCTTTTTTTGTGTCACGGGCCAGTTGAGAGGAGTATATGTTGCTTGTCTGATTGATACTGCATTTTTGGAATATGAATTAAGCAGCAAAATCCACCTGTTTTCATGCATCTCAGGGGGCGGCCATTTTGCCACTTGCTATCAATGGTAAATGACATCACAGTTGCTCTGGGCAAAGGTAACGACCAGTCACAGCTCAGCTGCTGAATGTCACATGACAGAACAAAAAAAAAAACAAACAAAAAAAAAACAACAAAAACAAAACAACAAAAAAAACCTTCTTTCCAGTGAACAGCATGATCAAAAATAGCATTGAAATCAATGCAAACAACATGTGATGCAAAAAGTAAAAACATTGATTGTGATGTAACAATGGCGTGACAAGATAACAAGATGACCACAGCAGAAAAGAAGATTTCATCTTTCAAGGGAAACAGGTTTTATCTTGCTAAGGCTAGCCAGCGATCAAGGTTAAGAGTTTTTGTAAAGTGTCATAGGCTAATGAAACACCCTGTACATCTACACCAGTTATCAAAACAAATCAAAATTATTTTTCTATCAACCAATCCACCAGAGAACCCCAAACAAGACTCAACAGCAACAATAAACGGCTTGAAAAGATTTTGCACATTTTACAGGGGCACAACACAAGTTTTCTGTGCCTTAAATATAAATACATGTTCATTCCAAATGGGGCATCACTTAAAAGGGGATCAAACAGGCATTCCAAAAGCATCACATTTATGAAGAGAATCACTGATCCAAGATAATATCTGAAATCCATACCTTTTACAATCATAGACACACCCATCAGGGCCTCCCGGAGGGCGCTCCTCTTCCTCCACCTCCCTTCCTCTGTGTTGTACATTTCCACCACCTTTAATGGTTTCTGGTCTTCTCCCACTCCTCCCACCACAAGGATCTGCTTTCCAAGTGCTGCTACAGCAGCACCGGCACGTGGGGTGGGCATAGAGGGCAGGCATATCCATCGGTCCCCCTGGGAACAGCGACAGGCATCCTTTCAAACAGTTACATTAATAATACAAAGAGCACAACTGTCAACGTTTTAGTCTTTCAAGAAGCTCTCATGCAAAAACAGATGCGCATTTTCAGCAAACAAACCAGCAAGCCAGGCCTGTTGCGTTTTGTACCTCTGGAGAGTATAATTCCAAGGTGGAGCATGGCCTCCCTGCGGCATCACAGCCCCCCAGCATGTACATCTGACCTCCCACCTCTGATAGAGTGTGGTAGACCCGGCCACTGGGCAGTCGTGCTAGGCTCTGCCAGTGATACTCATGAGCTGAAGGCACCGCCATGGCCTCAGAAGAGTATAATGGAGTTAGTAGGAAGAAAGAAGGTGCTAAATTATAGAGGGTTGGAATTATAGATTGATAAAGGAATAAAAAAAGCTAAGAGACTGAGGAGAAGGCCGCAGTGGAGGAGATTTATGGTAGTGGAGATGGTAAGCGGTGGGAACGTTGGATTAAGGCAGGACTCCCATGCCCAGGGTGACGTCACTGCGTTAAATTGGGCCCTGTAAAATACATATAGAAAAGGAAAAAAAATAGAATTAATATTAACATCCATCCATCCATTTTCTGATCCGTCTATCCCCACAAGGGTCACGGGGCGTGCTGGAGCCTATCCCAGCTGTCCTCGGGCAGTAGGCGGGGGACACCCTGAACGGGTTGCCAACCAATCGCAATGCACCCATAGACGGACAACCATTCGCGCTCACACTCACACCTAGGGATAATTTAGAGTTTTCCATTAACCTGCCACGTATGTTTTTGGAATGTGGGAGGAAACCGGAGTACCCAGAGAAAACCCACGCAGGCATGGGGAGAACATGCAAACTCCACACAGGAAGGCCGGAGCCGGAATCGAATCCCGCACCTCTGCACTGTGAGGCCGACGCACTAACCAGTCGACCACCGGGCTGCCCTAATATTAACAAATATTGCGTAAAAACCTACAAGTGGAGTGATTCTACTCAACCTCGAGTGAGTGAATTAATAGTAACAAAACCAGATTACACAGTTGCGCTGTATCAAACATCCTGATTTAAACTTAGAACTTAGATATTAAATTCAGTGAAACAGAAATGAAAGGTAGACTCAAACAGAATATGAAAGGAAAGGTGTCTAAAGCAAAAGGGCGAAGAGAGGAAAGGCAGATGGTATTACATAATACAAAGGAACATTGGTGAAGTGAGGAAAGCAAGGAAAAAAAGAAGACAAGAGAGAATAATACTGTATCAATATTGAGGTTTGGCTACAGAGGGCTGAGCAGCACACTATTTTAGGATGGGCAAGCATGATATGGCTAACTGTACCTGTGGGGAATTAAAACTCATTCTTCAATTATTTGAGGGAAATAGAAAGAATTAGGATATAATTTTTTTTCTGGCTTGCTAAGAGGAATCTCCGAATGAAATCAGTTGGTGATGGTAATGCACCATTAAGTTGTGTGCCAACTGCCGAGAAACAAGCAGGAGAGGAAAAAAAAAAAAGAAGAGCATGTGCCAGATGATTCCCCCAATTAAGAGTGGTATATCAGCCATTTTTGTGCATATGTTTGCAGTTTGTGATGAGATGCAGTTGAGATGAGTCGTCATCTTTAGAAATGTAATTGGCCTACAAAAATTGATAAGCGCCTTAGGGAATGAAGGAGGAAAGAAAGCAGCCAAGACTCCAACTCCATCGCCAGCACCTCCAAAATATACCGCTTTGCAAACGAGTCGCCAAGTTCAGCCCACAGCACCTCCGTTGACCCGACAAGGAACCAATGCAGCTCAGCTGAATTCATCTGACCGCCAAGTGAACGACAGAGGCGGATGAAAGCTAACCTGTTTCTGTACTATGGTCAAACGAGATGTTTTCCTGCCAATAGTCCGTTGCGACAAAAAGATCAGGCTCATCGGAAAAGCAGAGCACCCTGGTGAGCCAAACTCTTTTGCTCTCCCTCCCGTTTCACTCTCCCTGCTGAGTCAACTCGCAATTCAGTGACAGTGCCCCTTCAGATTCTCATAAATCCCAGTGCAGATGACAATTTATTGACCAAGACTACATGTACTCCAGCAAATATTCCCCATGAGTCACTTGAGGTACCCAAGGTCATTGATACGGTAGATGGCAGATTGAATTTCAGAGTGATGCACCCCACTACTCCCCTTTTGTTGGCCATCTCGTGTAATCTTCATGAAACCATGTCGGTGTTTGTCATTCCCACACCTTTGGCTCCTACTATCCTAGGTCTCCCCTGGCTGAAGCTCCATAATCCACATACATTCCCTTTTTTTTGCCGTCGCCCTCTGATTGGTTCAGAGCGACTCGAGTGAGATTAAATTGAATGAAGCCGGAAGTGGACGACTTCACTTGACCGAAATTCATTTTCAAGGCGAACTTTTCAAAAAAGAAAAAAAAAAAAAAGAAAAGAAAACGTGGACATTGTAAGGATAAATCAGAGAATGCTTGTAACAACTGACTATCAGCAGAAGAAAATACATCTCCTGGAATGGCCCAGTCAAAGTCTTGACCTCAACCCCATTGAGATGCCGTGGCATGACCTCAAGAGAGTGATTCGCACCAGACATTTCATGAACATTGCTGAAATGAAGCCGTTTTGTAAATAGAAATGTTTCCCAAATTCTTCCTGACTGCTGTACAGGCTTGATTTGCAATTGCAGGGAATGTTGCTGGTTGAGTTTATTGCTGCTGAAGGAGGCCAGTGATCAAATCCAGGTCACAGACTTTTGCCACCCTGCACTGTAATTTTTACATGCGGTGGTCAGTAAAATCATGGGCCCCTAAAATTGTTTATGTGGTCTTGTTTAAGCCGAATATTTGTTTGTGATTTGATACAATCCAAATATATTGTTAATAGTTCATGCAGAATTACATTTTTCTTGCAAATCTCTGCTATAACGCTGATGGAGGATCTTAATCAAGTGAAAATGAGAAACAACATTCTGCTGAAAGGGTGCTGGTATCTTAAACCATAAGAATAACTTGTGGTACAGGTTGAGGAGGCAGTCCTATTTGTCTCAGATTTGAGTGATATTTCTGATCAAATCTGGGTGTTTGTTTTTATTTTTTACATTGACTCTCATGACTTTAAAGAGAACAATATCCATCATCAGCATCATCAACAATCATCCATCCATCCTAATAGAAAGAGAGGTAGGTGTAAGAATACAATGAACATTCAAACTAGAACTGAGGAGAGTTAGTTCAAACTTGACGTTATGAGTCCCAATTTTCCTAAATATCAGCTCAGGTTAATTTATAAAAACACTGCTCAAGGATATTGCCCTTCAATGAATGTTGAATCAAGGAGAAGGATGTGTGAAACAAACTGAGTAGTTGGATGTAAAGCTGATAGTGAAGAGCATAAAATACAGCTGGCATGTGTGTTCCCGCTTCGTTCCTGTTGCGTTCAACAGTATGCCTCATACGCTGGTTTTAAATTCATTACCATAACTCTGGAATAACCATCGCCATCAAGGCTCCACTTGACAGTTACAGTAATATGAACTGAGCTCAGATCTACACCTCTTATATACTGTATCCATTACCGTGAGTAATTCACCATAGCGTTAACTCTAATTCTGTAATGACTTAGAAATGACATCGGAGAAGAAAAATAATAGCCCACCACTGCATCCAAAAATATGAACATGTATCTTAACTAAGTGGTTGGTAGTCTTCGCAGTACATCAAGTTCACACGTTAACTTTATGCATTATGGTGTCAGCCCCCCCCCCCCCACACTTCTGTAGCAACGCAACGACCTTCGACATAATAGCCCAAAAGTAAACATTGGGCCAGAACCACATCCGTGTTTATTGTAAAAAGCTACTCACACTGGCCGTTCCTGTCGCCTCTCTCTCGGTGTGCGCTGCTGCCCTTCCCCGCTCCTCTCTTCTCTCGACGGCGGTGGATGGAGATGGAATAGGAAGCTGCTTTTTGCGAGCAAGATGGAAAGCGACGAGGCTCGAGCAGCTCGAGTTGTTCCAGGGAGTGCTCAATGGGGAAGCGGGCTGTGACAAGATCGAGCTCCGCCTGAAATGTCGCTATTATTATGTGGGTCAGAGATGAAGTATTTATATTGGGCTGTCTCGGCGGAAATTTAAAGTCATCCCTTTTATGGTTTGAACGGGGGCGAACGCTTTCTGTTGGGGATGTTTATTATTAAGGTGTTGCTGCGAGTAATGGTCGTTTAAATAATTTACATCGTAATGTAATTTGATACTTGGATGTGCTCTGCTGCTTTAGTCACCGATGTATGTGTGCCATATTCTCATGCACCCACCGTTGAAATATTCATGGCAAATTTTAAACCATTTATTAAACAAACCAACTGTATGTTATGGGTTGATGTCTGTGTTGTGTTTTATTACACAATTCCTTCAAAGTGAGAGTGAAATGTTTATGAAGAAATTCTCAATATACCTTTCGAAGACGATTCACCAATCTTCTGAAATAGTCTGTGTTGTGCTCAGGTTAATATTAAAATCAAAAGAAACTCGTCTTCAAGAACCATCCATCTGTTCTAATACTCACTATGTTGGGGGGAAAGAGATGTAATTCTCCCAACTGAATAAAGTGAGTCACATGCATTGTCTTTTTTTCCTTTTTTTTCCCTCTGTCCTGTTTGTATTGGTGTCACAGTGTGGACTGGTTAGCATGTCCGCCTCACAGTGCAGAGGTGCAGGGTTCAATTCCAGCTTTCCTGCGTAGAGTTTGCATGTTCTCCCTGTGCCTGCATGGGGTTTCTCCGGGTACTCTGGTTTCCTCCCATATTCCAAAAATATGCATGGCAGGTTAATGGAACACTAAATTCTACCTTGGTGTGATTGTGAGCGTGAATAGTTGTTTGTCTGTATGCCCTGTGATTGGCTGGCAACCGGTTCAAGGTGTACTCCACCTCCTGGCCAAAAACACCTTGGATAGGCTCCAGCACACCTGCGACCCTTGTGAGGATAAGAGAATTAGAAAATGGACGGATGGGTGGATGTTTGTGTCTGTATGCTTTATTATGCTGGGACAGGTTTACTGTGCAACAGTGGAGTTTGCTGTACTGTACTTTCAGAAGTGTCACACTTATATTCAAACCTCCAGGCACTTAACATGTGCAATGAATCAATATTTATGGGCTGTGGGAAGAAAACACACAACCACAGAATCAACATAAACCGAAATCCATACAAAAAATAACTCAGAAGAAAATCAGACAGCAAATTCATATCTTATGGTGAAGCAATGTGCTAAGAAGATGAAGACTTGATCTGACGGTAGGGAAATTCACTGGTTACAACAGCAAGCAATAATATACGATATTATAAAAGGAGCAAGTATTATCAAAATAAACCACATGAGAAGGGAAATGACATTTCAAGGTGAAAGAAACATCAACATTGTGTAAGATGTATTGCACCTAAATAATATTGCACATAAGAGACATTTAAAGATCCTTTGGGCTTTTTAAGTGCATGTGTATGCTCTGTAGCTATTTAGTGAAATTGAACAGAGTTATTGCTGTGAGCAGGAATGACCTACAGTAACATTCCTCCTTTCACTTTGGTTGTCTACTGCAGGGTAATGCAGCAGTTGGGAAGTGTTGTGCATGATGAATGTCAGCTTGGCGAGTATCCTTCTGTCTGCCACCTCCTCTATGGTGTCCTTTTGGCAGCTCGAGACTGAGCTAGCTTTCTTAGCGCCTCGATTAATTCTTTCTATATTTGTATGTGATGCCTCTTCCCCAGCACATGATGACATAAAAAAATGACGGCGCCACCTACCGCAATGTTATAAAAGCTCCTGAGCAAATGAAATGTATTTTGGCTTGATTTTTTTTTAATAGCACTAATACCTGGCATTTTCATAGGGGTGTGTAGGCTTTTTATGTCTACTGTACCAAGCTGTCACTGGGAGCAGATATCAAAATGTGCCTAATGACAGAGTTACATTTTAACACTTAACTTGAAAAAAACACCGCAATAAATGTTTGAAAACAAACTGTTCCGAAAGACTAGATGCAAAAGTGCCTAACCCTGAACTCAAAACACCCGAAAAGTCCTTTGGTCCGCTTGTTTGATAGAGACCAATAGCGGACCTATTTTTTATTTATTTTTCTGCTTCATATTTATGCTGTCCTTTTTTGCAAATGCACTATATTCTGTAAATACATTGAGGCGTGTGACGATCGGTGCGGACTGCTGCGGATTACTGCACACATTTGCCGATGCTGTTCAAAAATTTTGAAATAGCTTTGCAAACCTTGGATTGAATGCGCTGCTCTTGGCACTCAAAATTATTTTGCAGCTCCAATAACAGCAGAAACATACAGAGCAAGAATGCAACATGTAGGAATTGCATGTTTTCCTCCACTTCTTGGGTTTGTGCTTTCGGTGCGACCCTCCTCATTTCTGCACAAATGGGAGCACAGATCGGCTCCTGCACCGATGTGTTTACAGAACATGGTTCACGTGCAAAAAGTACAGTGTGAATATGAACTGCACCAAAGAAAAAAAAATAGGTCCACTTTTGGTCCGGAACAAAGGACTTTTCTGGTGCGAATACTGTACACCCTAAAATACAACTGAAATGTACTTAGGTGTGATTCTTTCACGGACCACTAAAGTTGCATTCCACAAATGAGAATCACTAGTCAAGCGATGTACATTTTGACACACAACATTACAAAGACACGATCATTATTTCAACATTTCAGATCAGTACAAAATGCAAGGTGCCCATGTGTTCATGTGGTCATATTAGCATTAATAATAAATGTATTGTAACCTGAGAACCAACAAGAGATACAAATTGCTACAAAATGCCTTAAAATCCTATGCAGGAAATTACTCTTACGGCAGTTCAGCCTACAGCTCCTCTATTAGATTTATATGACACACACACAGAGGTGCTGACAAGGTCCTCCTGGCTTTTTCCATATGCTGGAAAATAAATAAGATTAGCTGAAATATTAAATAAAGATTTACATGGCTCTTTATCTACACTAATGGTGCCTAAAATATTTTACAAAGCCTGACATTCAATTATTTGAAACATTATTCATACAATCAGCAGACAGATCACTCCCGTTACGAAATAGTTGTTCTTTTTACTTTAAAATGACTTACCTTAAGTAGAATCTCACGTCACATTGTGGCCAGTCGTAGAATCTGGGTGGGTTATTGCACACTTTAGTGTTGTAAAATAGTGGGAAATAGGAGGGGTGTCACGTTTTTTTGACCAATATGATATGGCCGAACAATTCAACACAAAGCAACACATTGCTTTTTTGGAACAATGCAATGCAATTTGATATGATATTTTCAATATAAAGATAAAGTGCTTCATATATTCGAATAATTGTCAACATTCTCTTTTTATGGAACAAAACACTTTAACAAGTTTAATACTTGTGTGTAAAAGTGTTAAACTTGTTTATTTTCACATTAAGTTAACCTGCTGCTGTGACTGTTCCGTTTAAAGAACAACTGTACATAACAGTAGACAATTTTAACAAACGCTTGCATATTCTTTTTCAAAATCAGCAGGACGATACATGGTCTGTCAGTAAGACAGCTCTCTGCGTGCTCCGCAATAAAAAGTAATTCTTTGAGCACGAGGGTATTTATGATTGAGTTTTAGAATAAATAAGGCATCACACCTTTTTGCTCTGTGCCGCTGTTGATTCATGACAGGTTTGTTGTTTGTGTGCCATGGTGCCGGTCGAGACGGGTCGACAAACTGTGGTGTTCCCTTGACATTTCATTCAGTGTTTGCAAAGGCTATACACGACAACCGTCATGTCATGTGGATATCCTTTATTGCAAAATCCAAAGTGTTCCCACAGAAATAAACACATTGCTTGTCCTAAAAATTTCCTACTTCCTCGCCGCTGTGCTTGATGTTGATCTATTATAGTCTGCATGTTGCATGCATGACATAAATCTCCAACATCGACGGGAAATCGCATGCATAGGCAAAACAAAAACAAACAAAAAAACAAAAACAACAACAAAACAATAAACACACGTTCATGCATGAAGAGTAACATTCATCCATCCATTTTCTGAACCGCTTACCCTCACAAGGCTTGCTGGAGCCTATCCCAGTTGTCTTCAGGCAGTAGGCGGGGGACACCCTGAACTGGTTGCCAGCCAATCGCAGGGCACACATAGACGAACAACCAGAATAACATTCAAAGCTAAATAAAAAAATAATAGATCATTTGGAATTTTGAGTATAAAGTTAGTTTGTTAATTGTATCACTGTTGTGTGGTCAGCATCGATGTGCATTTGTCCAGTGTGTATCGATGTAGTCAGATCAGGGGCAGCCACATCGGTACTAAATCAGTGTATCGTTACGCCGCTAGGAAATAGTTCTGTCTCTCTATCTATGCTGACAGCAGCCTGAATGAAATGTACGTTTGGCTTCCTTTTTCTAAACGATCATCAGTCCCCGTAGCATTTCAAAATGTCTTGCACAGCTTGTGCTGTTGGCATTTCAACTAACAGCCGTGGGGCAAAAAGCCCCCGGGATCAACACATGTATTTGTGTTTGCTTTATGCCAAATTCACAGAGAAGATTTGCAGGGTACCATGAAAAGATTCAGAGTATTAACAAAATAACCTCAGGTATGATTTGATGTGTACAGTATAGCCACCATACAATCTTTTAAAAGAGGACACGCGCTATCAGTCGCCATATTAACCATGTTACACCATTTGACCCGAATCCGCAAATTATGATTTGATTTTTAATTTTCCACACCGGCTCGTACAAATGTCCGAATCACCCACTCCCCGTTTGTGCACAGCACGACGACTGTCATCCCCATAAATTATTTACAGTGCAGTTCAGGAGCTACTCTCAAAAGTCCAGCTCACTGTGTAATTTAAAGTAGACAATTCTACTGTGCCCCAGAAATCCTCGCTATAAAAAGTGAGGAGTCGCTGTCAACACTGCTTTCTGCCCTCCAGGGACCTAGCCTGATTATAGCATCATCATTCTCCCTCTTATGCTGCTCAACACAAATGCACACAAAAGCACACACTGTGTTCTCTCGACGCACATCAGCACCTTGCTGTTACCAAGTAATTGTGTATGGTTTTTTTAAGACCAAGTCGAAAGATGTTATGAGAGCTGTTTAGAGCCTCAAATCTCCTGCAACTATAATAACTGGTTCTCTGACCTCTTAACCTGAGATGCCTGGAGATTGAGAAGCCTGGCTCGCAAGGTCAGCTGGTCATTCAAGTAATTGGATGTATACGGTGTCATCTCTTACTGTTGAAGTGTCCGTTGGAGAAAAACAACAGTCTGAAGGAAAGAAATCACTTGGACCCAAATGCCAACAAGAATGTACTTAGTGATACCACGTCGGTACTGCACACCCGACATGCAGTTAAATACAAAAACAAACTTAAAAAACTGTGCTGGATACCTTTCAGTGCCCACATACCGGAAGGACATTGTCCCATGTTGTTTTTTTTTTCACCAGTCACCATACTGTGTGTTTGTGTGTGTATGCGTGTGTGTGTGTATGTGTCTGATG